TCAACCCCTGTATCCTGATCAGAGCAAGTACATGTGCCACTCAGTTCAGCTAGAAAAAAATACAACTTGAAATTTATTTATTTGTTAAACATCTGCAAAAATCAAAGGCAGCTGATCTGTAAATAGAGCAAAAGGCAGGCAAGAGCAAAGATAAAGTATTGAACAGCAGACAAAAATTTACATTATATATACATCTTAGTTATATCAAAAGGATACCAAACTTTCCAGAGTTACTAAAAATGCAGGTAGTCCTCAATTTATAACAGTTCATTTAGTGACTGTTCAAAGTTACAACGGCATTGGAAAAAAGTGACTTATGACCAGTTTTCATACTGTTGTCGCAACAGTATGAAAACTGTGACCAAAATTCAGATGCTTGGCAATTGACTCATATTTGCTGTATCCTGGAGTCATGTAATTCCTTTTTGTGACCTTCTGACCAGCAAAATCAATGGGGAAGCCAGATTCCCTTAACAATTTGACTAAATTTAACAACCTCCATGATCCACTTAACAACTGGCAAGAAAGGTCATAAAATGGGTCAAACTCACTTAACAAATGTTTCACTTAGCAACAGAAATTTTAGGATCAATTGTATTCAAAAGTCCAGAACTACCTGTGATAAAGTGATGGGTTTCAATTTTTTTTACTACCGGTTCTGTGGGCGTGGCTTGGTGGGCATAGCATGGTTGGGTGGGCGTGGCAGGGGAAGGATACTGTAAAATCTCCATTTCCACCCCAATCCAGGGGAAGGTTACTGCAAAATCTCTACTTCCTCCCGATCAGCTGGGACTTGGGAGGCAGAGAATAGATGGGGGCGGGGCCAGTCAGAAATTTTATTACTGGTTCTCTGAACTACTCAAAATTTCTGCTACCAGTTCTCCAGAACTGGTCAGAACCTGCTGAAACTCACCTCTGCTGTGATAATGTGCCTAGTTAACATACATACTTCCAAAAATACTGGCCCTTGGTTATTTCATCCTTAACCTTTTTTTTTTTATCATAACAAAGATCTTCTTTGTTTCTCATGCATAACCAGGACCTTCTCTGTGGCATCCTCTTCTATATGGAACATCATTCCCCTGGATTGGCCCCCATCTTGTTGCTTTTCTGAAAGGCCATAAGGACTTTGTCAGCAGGCCTGAGGACCCTAAATAGAGATGGAGCCAATCAAGTGGTTGATGTGACTGTATTTCTGCTGCTGCTGCTGCTTGTCTGTGTGTGTGTGTGTGTGTGTGTGTGTGTGTGTGTGTGAGAGAGAGAGAGAGAGAGAGAGAGAGAGAGAGAGAGAGAGTGTCACCTGTATGGGATCGTGGAGGCTATATACATTTGTTAACAAATAAATTTGCTTAATAAATAATTAAATAAATACATTTATTTAGTAAATAAGTGAATAAATAATTTTGATCAATAAATAAAATTAACAGCAGCAGAATAAATATGGAAAATGGAACAGCAAGAAATTCCTTTTCCATGAGGTAAGGTGGGGCGGGGGGTGGGGGGCAAGATGTAGAAAAAGTCTCTCTAAAGCTTTCCAAAATGCACAAGGGTTCATGGGACCCCCATAAAGTTACCTCATTCCAATCAGGCCCCTCACCGTGTCATTCTCATCAGCTATGAGAAGAAAACCCCCTACGCCCAAATCCTTTCCCATCTCCGTCGAGTCATTACTTTTCTTGCACATATCAATCAGACAGCGGGGAGAAAGAGAATAACACAATGCATCCATGTTGGTGTTGGTCACATGTGCTTCAGTTGTACCCATGTTGTGTCTCTGACAGTGAGAAGATGACAGCTCTGTAAAAGACGGAGGCTTGATCGCTCATCGGCCCATTCAGGTTGTTTGCAGAAAGCCCAGGCACCAGAGAAAAAGGGAGCAGGTACAATTCGCAGCCTGCCATAGTTTGGGGGCAGGGATAATTGATGTGTGAAGGAAGAGCTTCTCTGCCTAAGTCAAACAATATTGTATATACTCACACATAAGCCCATCCGAAGATAAGCCCAACCTTAGACATTTTTGTATGTTTTAATTTTCGCAAATGACTTATCTGCAGGGGGCACATTTTTCATGGCATTTGGTTAAAAATTCAAGGGTCAGCTTATCCTCAAATGGGCTTATCTGCAAAATATATAGAGGATATTCAGGTGCTTTAGAAAAGCTAAGGGAAAAACCCTATCATACGTATTTGTGCAGAGGCCAAACCTGATTTTGCGGGTATATTTTGGCACCCAAAATGCTTGGCTTATCCATAAGCATATATGGTACTTATCTACATCCTGCAGTTATTTTCAGCCCTTAGCCTGGTTGGAAATAGGTGGTTTTGCCCTCGAGTGTACAAGTAGAAGCCAAAACTGTAGAAGAGATATTTCCTTGAAATTCATGTTTGACTGTAGACCCGCATCTATTTAAAATAGTGAAGGCATACTAATTTCAAACATTATACATGACGAGATTTCCTCTCCTCCTTCTTCTTCAAGTCTCCAATCTATTATCACATCTATTATCGAAAAGTTTCACTGGAAACTTTTTTTAAAAAAGAAAATTCCACATGACACAGTTCATCTTGCAGTTTTTCTTTCTTTTTTTCCTTCTTAACATCATATCTTCAAAAGGAAAGCACCCCTGATTTAATATTATTCACAGTCACTTTCTATTAGGGGATGTGTAACATGGTGAATGGTACCCAAGGGAACTGTCCCATGGATCCGTCACCACCAGGGAAAACATAACGCTCAACTTGGTACGCGATATCATTGTCATTTTCTTCCACGATTAATCCCACTGTTATGCTCTGAGACATTATGAACTTCTAATTTCTGAGAGGGATGAACCAGACAGTCATTGTTCTGAGGAGTTGCTTCACCATTGGATTCATTGTATCCATTTAGATTGTCAGCTTCAGAATTCCAGTCTTGAGGTTTATCGTAAAGATTTTGGAGTGAAAATAGTCTGAATCAGTGGTGGGTTTCAAAATTTTTTACTACCGGTTCTGTCGGTGTAGCTTGGTGGGCATGGCAGGGGAAGGATACTGTAAAATCTCCATTCCCATCCCACTCCAGGGAAAGGTTACTGCAAAATCCCCATTTCCTCTCCATCAGCTGGGACTCGGGAGGCAGAGAATAGAAGCGGGCAGGGCCAGTCAGAGGTGGTATTTACCGGTTCTCTGAACTACTCAAAATTTCTGCTACCGTCTTGAAATGGACTGGTGGACATATTTACAATTAAAATCCAGATACAAAACAGATATGGAGAAATTTGGAATCCAAAAAGAACTAAATCAGTTAGATAAAATTTTACTGGGTCCCAATGAGAAATCAATAACAAAAATTTATAACTTCCTATTGGCATATAAATTAGAGGAGGAGATAGTCAAAGAAGATATGATCACGTGGGCGATGAACTTCGGATACCCCATAGAATTAAATAAATGGGAAAAATTATGGAAAATCAACAGCAAACTAACACTATCAGTACCGTACAAAGAAAATACCTACAAGATGTTCTATAGATGGCACCTCCCACCGGTATGGATCTCCAAAATGTTCCCCAATACATCTTCACTCTGCTGGAAATGCAAAGCACAAAAAGGGACATACTACCATATGTGGTGGTCATGTCCCAAAGCCAAACAATTCTGGAACAATATTAAAACCCAATTGGAAGAAATAACAGCTCAAAAAGTACCATTAAAACCGGAAACATATCTATTAGGCATATTTACATGTAATTATGAAAAAGAAATAATATATTTGATCACACATATTCTGACTGCCTCAAGGATCACTTATGCACAAAATTGGAAACTGGAAGAAATCCCAACACAAGACAGAATAATATCCAAAGTCATGGAATGTGCCGAGATGGACAGACTCACCAAGGAAATCCAAGGAAAGGAAGAATCTGACTACTACCTGGTTTGGCAAAGGTGGTATCAATGGTTGGAGATAAAAAAAATAAACCAAACCAAAAGAGGATCCTAAAAGAGTAAAACAAAATTCTGTACCAAATAAGATTTAACAACGAATAACTAAATATCAATAAAATAATATCATTATATAAGGCGAGAGGAAGGAATATATATTGAGGAATATAGGTTATTGATGTTGTAGGAAATCTGACATTACTTTTAGATGTCATTAATGTTATTAATGTTGTGTTTGTTTTATTTGTACTTGTATGTGTATGTGTATGTGTATTTTGTGTGTTTTTATATTTAATAAAATTTATATATTAAAAAAAATCTTCTACCGGTTCTCCAGAACTGGTCAGAACCTGCTGAAACCCACCTCTGGTCTGAATTCTCCAATTTAAAGTGAAGGTTTCTGTGCTACTGTAATCCAAATTGGACAACTTCAACTGTAGTTTATACATTGAGCACGTGTGCATGTTCAAATAAACATGGAGTACATTTATACTTTTTCTAAGGACTAGAAACTTTTCTGTCCTTTTTAAATGAATGAAAATCAACACGAGATACTGGAAGTTATGGCCATTTCAAGGAATATGAAACACCCCAAGAATAAAGGAAGAGTTGATCACTGGCAAAGGAAAGGAAGAAAAGATTCTGTAAGTTGCATGCTAATTGAGTCCCTTATACTGAAATCCGGCTCAGATGGCAATTCCCTTCTTTTCAGCAGAGTTTCTTGAATTGCTCAACACAGATGCCGAAAATGAAGCACTTATTTGCTGACTAGAAAATCTCAGTTGAGGTCGATTGATGAAGCAATGCAAAGAAGCCTGTTCAGTCCTCAGATTGTGGGTATAGAATAGCAAACTTCATCCTCGCTACTTATGTATTCAAAAACCTGCAATATTTTTTTTAAAAAATGTATTACTTAAGGTGCAGCATGCTTCACTGGCAATTTCTCATAGGATACCAGAATATTTTTACAATTAGTAGGACGAAAAACAGCCAAGATACAGACGTAAACACACAAATACATGGAGGGAGGGAGGGAAGGGAGAGAGGGAGGGAGGAGAGAGAGAGAGAGATGTTAAGGAAATTCAAGCCGTACCAAATATGTTGGAAGTGAGATTCCCATTGTTCTGCTACAAAATCTTAGAAGGTTGGGAATTAACTAACGGAACAAAAATGAAGCAAGAAAGGTACAGTAGCTACTTTCTTGAAAACAAATCCATTCTTTTTCATTCGTGCCATTTGTCTGAATTCTTCCTCCGGGCGAGCTGGACAGCTGCACCAGTGAGTTTTTTAGTCATGGGTTGTAAGCCCCACCTGGCTATATTTGTTTAGCAGACAGCTGGCAGAATGAAATAAAAAGGGGGGGAAAGGAGAGAATAGCAATGTAGGAACTGCATCCAAAACAAAAAACAATAGAGATTTTGATGTTGTTGTTTTTTTAATTATTGGCTGGAGATATGCATATACAGCGGGGGTTGTTCATCCTAGGTTTATATTTCCAACCTACATCTTCAACCTTTCCAAAATGAGGGTGGAAAGCTGAATGCTATGGTCAAGGTTGTGAGATCCCAATTATTATCAAAGAAATAGTTTCTCCTTCCCTCTTTTATTTAAGTTGATTTTCAGGGTTGTTGGTTTTTTTTACACCCAGAGCCATGTTAGTTTTAAATCAAGGTGGGATGCTTTATTGTGATTGTAAGTATGATCGTGGCTTTCTCATGGCTAAAGTGCTCCAAGTAGATTGCTGTATCTATCTCTCTCTGGGTGTGTGTGTGTGTGTGTGTGTGTTTCCCAGCTTAAAGATAAGAAGAAGGCAAAATTGTGGGAAAGGCATCCGTTCTGCATCTGTTTCTCTCACAAACCTATCAAATATCTAATTTTTGGCATTACTGCTGGCTCCAATGGGGGATGACATAAACCAGCTTTGTGGTTACATATTTCACTTTTAATCTCCCAAAAATGAAAATCAGTGCTGAAATGTCCCCTTTAAATAAGACTCCGTGAGATCTCCCTGCAAACATAGAAAAGGGCGTTAGTCTGATTTAACTTAATATGCAGCATATGTAGAAGCTTGATTTTCAACTGATTCAATGCAACAATCTGAGCTAAACCCCTCAGATTTTTAAAACCATATTTTAGCCATTTTGAACAAGAAGATCATTGGGGGGGGGGATGTCACAGTATTGAAGCAAATGGCGGCACAAGAACCAGCAGGCTAGCATTGTAGTCCATGATATTTCTTGTTCAAGTGTGCATTGTTTGATCTTAACACAATGCTTGGAAACTGTCAAACTGAGTAGCGTTTGCTTCGCTCGGTATCATGCAGGGATTTGAGACTATTCAGACATGAGTTCTTCATTATACGGATAAATATGGTAAGGAGACGTTGTTTAGAAGATTTGAAAAGAATATGGTTTGGCCTTTGCCCAGTTGGAGGAACTCCAGCAAGTGAAGGTAGTGATCCAGCAAGCCCGCTTAACTCCTTCAATTCTACTCCCTGAGGTGAAATTGAGAGAACAGGGGACATTTTTAATGGGGATTAAGTTTTAAAAGGAGTCACCACCCACACAATTGGAGTTTAAAGTTTATATTTACAATAGCTCTGATGGGAAGGGTTAAAGTACACATTGGGTCCTAGATGGGTGCTAGTTTAATTCCTCATGGTATTATATTACAGGTAGTCCTCAACTTAGGACCACAATTTAGCCCAACATTTCTGTTCCTAAGCAAGACAGTTGTTACATGAGTTTTACTCACCTTTATGATCTTTCTTGCCATAGCTGTTAAATGAATCACTGTGGTTGTTGTTAGTAAAGGTAAAGGTAAAGGTAAACGTAAAGGTAAAGTTTCCCCTCGCACATATGTGCTAGTCGTTCCCGACTCTAGGGGGCAGTGCTTGTCTCCGCACTGTCCAAAGACATGGTCATGTGGCCGGCATGACTAAACGCCAAAGCCGCTGTTACCTTACCACCAAAGGTGGCCCCTATTTTTCTACTTGCATTTTTTACATGCTTTCAAACTGCTAGATTGTCAGAAGCTGGGACAGGTAACGGGAGCTCACCCCGTTACGTGGCTCTAGGGATTTGAACCGCTGAACTTCCAACCTTCCAACAAGCTCAGCATCTTAGCCACTGAGCCACTGAGTCCCCTTGTTGTCAGTAACACGGTTGTTAAACTTCCTTCCCCATTGACTTTGTTTGTCAGATGGTCACAACAGGGGATCATATGACCTCAGGACACTGCAACCATCACATATATGAGTCAATTGACAGACATCTGAATTTTGATCACATGATGACCCTGAGGATGCTGCAACCATTGTGTGAAAAATGGTCAAAAGTTACTTTTTTCAGTGCTGCTATAACTTTGAGTGGTCGTCTCTAAATAAACTGTAATAAAAGTACAGGACTACCTGTACTTTTACTCTCAATCATACCACAATATTTGGAGGTTAGCATCTTCAACCCTGCCCAACTCAGATGCTGAGAATCTAAAACATTACATTCCAAACCAGGGGTGAAATGCTCCCGGTTTGGACCAGATCGCCTGATCTGGTAGCGATGGCAATGGGTGGTTCGGAGAACCGGTAGCAAAAATCCCTGCCCACACCCCATGCCCAGCTGAGTCACACGATCATCAGAGACTTTTTTTTTAACTTTTAAAAGCATTTTTTCTTTGGCCTTTGCTGAAGCTTTTAAAAGTAAAAAAGCTTTTTAAAAGTAAAAAAAAAAAGCCTCTGATGATCACGTGGCTCAGCTGAGATCGTCAGAGCCTTTTAAAAGCATTTTTTTACAACCTCTTCAGCTGAAGAAGTTGTAGAAAAAATGCTTTGAGAAGTAAAAAAAAAAAAAAGTTAGCCACACCCACCCAGCCACATTACTCCCCCAGCTTTTAAAAGTAAAAGCTTTTAAAAAGTAAAAAAAAAAGCTTTTAAAAGTAAAAAAAAAAAGCCTCTGATGATCGCGTGGCTCACCTGGGATCGTCAGAGCCTTTTAAAAGCATTTTTTTTACAACCTCTTCAGCTGAAGAGGTTGTAGAAAAAATGCTTTGAGAAGTTAAAAAAAAAAAAGTTGGCCACACCCACCCAATCACATTACTCCCCCACGCCCACAGAACCGGTAGTAACAAAATTTACATTTCACCGCTGCTCCAAACATATCATGGGCCAGTCAACGCTCTTCTGCTCTTCCAGCAGAAATTTCATTCATACATTCCTTCAGTATTTCTGTAGGTTCTGTATTAAATGGAGGTGTGTGAAAGGACCCCAGAGCCCATCCAGAAACAAGACAGAACCCAAAACAAATACAGAAACAAGAAAAATATACTTCTCTCCGTGCCTCGCACATGTGTATTTGCCAGCAATTTGCAAAATAAGCAAATAAAGAAATAATCTGAGTATTGTTATCAGGGAATGCTGCCTGGCCATCAAATCACCACTTTTTTTTTTCATTTAAACTCCAAAATGAGGCCAGAGCTTTGGTATGTGCTTTTTATTTAAATAAACAAAAAACGGAAATTTAGTCATGCTTCGATCCTATTTCCTGATAAGGTAGCCTGGGAAATCTAATAGATATCTGGCATTTTTTTAGAGGAGGGGAGAGGGCACAGGAAGGAAAGGACAGAGGAGCGGCAATGCCACAACCACAAAATAACCCTTGTGCAAGATAGCTGGCCTTCCCAAAGCAGGGAGAAGATAATTGGGCAACTGACATTGTGGGAACTCCATGGCAGAGTACTGATACCAAATTGATTCATTTAAGCACCAGAGTAAGTTGGAGAACCATTTTTGGGGTAGTGATTAAGCTTAGAAATCAGGAGACTGTGAGTTCTAGTCCTTTCTTATGCATGGAGCTGGCTGGGTGACAGCGGTGGGTTGCCGTCAGTTCACACTGGTTCTATAGAACTGATAGTAAAACCGGCGGGAGGCTCCGCCCAATGACCCCGACATCATCAAAACGCTTCTGTGCATGCGCAAAATCTTCTGCGCTTGCACAGAAGAGCGTGAGCGCCCGCGCACGGCCCCACTGTGAACCGGTAATAAAGGTAAGTAGAACCCACCCCTGCTGGGTGACCTTGAGCCAGTTACTCTCTCTCACTCTCTCTCTCTGCCCTAGGAAGGAGGCAATGGGAATGACTTCTGAAAAACCTTGCCAAGAAAACTGCGGACAGTAGCCCAGGTAGTCACCAGGAATCAAGACTTGAAAACACACACCGGTAGTGGTGGGATTCTACCAGTTCTACAAGGTTCAGGCGAACCGATTGGGGCAGTGGTGGGAGGCTCCGCCCACCCACTTGGATGTCATCACGGACGCTCTGAGCATGTGCGCGCTCACATTTGTGAACCGGTACTGAAGGTAAGTGAATACCACTACTGACACACTCACACACAAAAAGTGTCACACAGAAAGAAGTAAGCTGTTCTCCTTTCTCCAAATGTGATTTTAAAAAACCACACAGCTTAGAAAACGCGATTGCATTTGTGACACTGGCTTGAAGTGAATCTCCGATTCTTGGGGGAAAAACATCTGAGATAGTAAAGAGCAAGACTTGAAATAAAACCCGTTACATAATTCTTCAGTTTCTTTCCCACAGCAAGAGCAACCCCTACACACACCCTTCATCTTCTTCCCTCTTTTTTTTTGGCTTGCTTCCACCAGTGCCTATACATCTCCACAGTGCATAGACTTCACGGAGCCAGGCATGATACGTGCATGTAAAGAGTCCAAAGTAACCAAAAACATTGGTATCCATATCAGATGCTTCAAAGGGAAGGAGGCTTTTGGCAAGCTTAATCCCCTGGGCTTGGGGAAATCAGTGCAGAGAGCAAAGAGAGGCAGTGATTGCAACAGGCAGTGTATGTGTGAGTGTGGATCCTGCACACACACACACACACACACACACACACACACACACACACACCAGAAACTTTGGGCTGCCATCGAAAAGCAAACCTGCAGCTACAGAGAAAGGAGGGTATCAGAGGTCACGCTAGACTTTGGACCCAGCCTCCTAGCCAACCAACTCCTGTTGCAATCCCTATTGCAACCTATGTTTTCCTTCCAATTTACAACAACCCATTACATCTACTTGGTCAGATAATTATAGGAATGGTATAACTTTCCAGTTTTAACTGTGACTCATTAACACTGCCAAACTTTGTGATCCTCTGCTTCCTCTCCCACACACAAATCCAGTCCCAGTCTTTTTCCCCTCTGCCTCTCCACCCCTTATGCACACTTATATGCACGCCCATGTGCGCGTGGAGAGAGCGGGGGGGACTAATTTGATATTTCTCAATTCTTTGGCAAACATTTTGTTAAGAGTCCATCAGTGTCTGTTCTCAATGAACCTGAAACCTCTGCCAACTTCTTTACTAAGGGAAACTGATTCTTGTTTACTCCTTTTCAGAATAAGAGAAATCATGATGAATTTTAATAGGCTAAAGCCCCCCACTGCTGAAAACCTCCCTCCTTTTGTTGTACAGGCTTTGAAATATATAAATCAAAAATAAGATTGGATTAGAGAGAGACTGAGACAGAGATATGCAGGAAGACGGGCAGACAGCCTTGACAAGTAGAAGGGAAGGGAAGGGAAGGGAAGGGGAAGGGAAGGGAAGGGAGACCTCCCGCAAAACACTTCCACAGATTGATGGCTGCCTCCCTCATTTATCCATTTCCTTTTCCCGATATTTCTTATCATAGAGATCTTTTACATTTTGTTATTGCATTGTGAAAAACCTCATCAATTATATTTACAATTTTTTCTTTAAAAAAAAGAAGAAGAAGAGCTCATGACCAGCAAAATTACAGAATGGGCTTTATTTATGTGTTGAACATCTATGAATACCTACACCTTGATTCTGTCAAGCATATACTTCTTACTCTTGAAATAGGCATTTATCAAAGCATTTATTTATTTATATTATTGTTATAGTTAATCTTCAATTTGATTCATTGCCTGGGACTGGTAAAAATGTAACAATTCAAGTCCTAACCAAGGACCTAAGAACTATTAAGGTAGCATTTGAACATATACACAGTTTCAAGTAGGGTGGGTTTTTTTGTAAATTCAAGATATTCAGGTCTAATAAGTTCAAAATTTCCATGTATCTAAGTAGCCCTTTGGGTATTGCTCCAAGGGCTCTTATTACTATTGGTTCAACCATTGATTTCTTCCTCCATAATCATTCTTCAATTTGCAAATCACAATATTTTGCAAATATTGTTGCAATATTTTGTTATTTTTTTTCTAGCTGTTTCTCCTCAATTTGTGCATCATCTGGTATTGCAATATTAATGAACCAGACTTTTGTCTTATTTATTTATTGTTATTGTTATTGTTATTATTGGTTAATCTTTAGTGAGATTCACAGCCTTTGAGGCTGGTTAATAGCTCAGCAGCTCGAGTCCTAACCAAGGACCTAGGAACTGTTAAGGTATCGTCAGAGGATGTAAGCTGTACCGAGTAAGGTGGTTTTTTGTAGGCTTATTGTTGTTGTTGTTGTTGTTGTTGTTATTATTATTATTATTATTATTTACTTTATTCATTAAACATGAAACTCAGTCAACTGAACATTCAAAAATGCATCACAAATACCATTGACTGGTGCTAATGGTTGATACAGGTTGCTGCCAGCGTCCTAGGTATCAACCAAGTACCTTCTTAAGATGTACGATGTTCCAAGTAGCACAGTGCAACATGTATGCTGGTTTTCTCCAAATGTATTGTATGAAATTGGCTTTTGTTTTTCTATTTTGACTGTAGGGTTTTGGGAAAATGGTTTAGAATTTCCCATGGTAGTATTTTGAATCACTGTGAGATGGCACACAATGGTAATGTATGTGTTGTGGACTTCTGCTATCCATCTTTCCAATATTCTGAAAGCTTCCCGGTTGCCAACACATCAAAGTTCAGTGAAGGTGTTTTCTTCTGATGATTCCCATTGATATTATTTATCACTGTCATTTGGTATTTAAGATCAGAAGACAGCAGAATCTGGGTGAGAGAATGGTACAATAAAAGAGAGACATTAATCTGCTATCTTGTAAATAGAGACATATCCCACCTACCTGAATTTCACCCAAAAGCTTAAGTATTTGAGGAAAAAAACCCTTTTTTCCCCCATTGCCAAATTGAAAGAAACCTGGTAGAGGAAAAAAAAAATTACGATGAGTCTTGACCTGCTTCATTTTTAAGGTATGACAGTGTCACGTTCACAGGCACAGAGATGGCTTAAATGCTGTTTCAGTCCTGGAAGAATAATAGGATTGTCACTGTTCTCTTTCAACCAGGTAGGATTTTAGTGCCTTTAACAATGTATGGTAAACAAACACAAAGCTTTTTCTTCTCCTTCGTCTCCATTCTCAAAGGTCATGATCTCTTCTATCTCTTCCTGGTGTACATGTATTGCAGCCAGAGCAGCAGGTCAAAAAGTTAAATGCACCCTGGAGTTGAGCTTGACTCCTGGGCATCTTAGAATTACAGAGGTGGGAGAGACCATTGAATCCAATGGGCTGGTCATTGCTGGAATTGCAAATTGCACATCTGAGACAGTGGACTTTCTGTGGTCTGCTTGAACACATTGGGAGGAGAGCTTTAAAAAAATAAAAAAAAATCTGTGTGCTCATGCAATCAAGGCCCTGCCCCTTTTAATTGTAAGCAACATATATAAAAGTAAAGGTTTCCCCTGACCATTCATGTCAGACTCTCGGGAGTGGTGCTCAACTTCATTTCCCAGCTGAGGGAGCCAGCGTTGTCCAAAGACGCTTCTGTAGTCATGTAGCCAGTGTAACTATATGCCGAGGCATATAGAATGCGGTTACCTTCCCACCAAAGTGGTACCTATTTATCTACTTGCATTTGCATGCTTTTGAACTGCTAGGTTGGCAGGAACTGGGGCAGGAATGGGAGTTTATCCCATCACATGGTACTTAGGTCTCAAACTGACGACCTTTTGGTTGACAAGCCCAACATCTTAACCCCCAGGCAACCATGCTCCCTTGCAAGATAGATAGATAGATGATAGATAGACAGACAGACAGACAGACAGACAGACATCAAGATCAAGATCAAGATCAAGATCAAGATCGAGATCGAGATCGAGATCGAGATCGAGATCGAGATTGAGATAGATATGTATATGTACTATATGTATGTATATATTACATGTACAACATGTAATATATACAGTATAGAGAGAGGGGGGGCTCGACATGTTGAAAGGGGCAGGATTCTGATCCCATAATCATCCCTGTCACGTTGACTTTGCAACACAGATACTGCAGCAAAGCAGACATCACCACCTCACTGAGTAATTCCTGGCTCTGTTAGGAATGTTTTTCTAACCATCAGTCAGACTTTGAAATCTGTCTTCCTGTAACCTGCTTTCCTGTTAACCTCTATCAATTATTTTATGTCCCACACAATAGAGAACTCATCTTGACCTTCCCCGTGACATCATTCCAGGCATTTGAAGACAGCTGTTACACTCCCCCTTAGTAGTCTCTTCTGGAGGTTAAGCATTCATAATGTCTTTGTGTAGCACTTAATTCCAGTTACCTGATCACTCTTATTGACCTTTGCTGGTCCTGTTCCAATTTCTCTGAATCCTTCTTAGAGTGTGGGATTCAGAACTACGGACAGTAGTTAAGATGAAATACGATTGCCTTCAATGGAAATGATACTTTAGCTGATGAACCTAAAAATGAACTTGTCTTTTTATAGACATGTCATATTGCAGGTTTGTAATTGATGACAAAGGGGTTTTTTTTCAGCAAATATCACTAATTCAAATTCTAATTAATTCAATTACCTTTTCTAAGATTTGCACAGATTTCCATAAATACACTGGAAAACATACTTTTGTATTATGGAGACATTAAGATTTCTTGAATAGATTTACAAATAGAGTTCTTAAATATTTGGTCTGGAATCTTCCCAGATATCAATATTTGACTGAAAACCGTTGTCGTTTGCTGGAGTTTCCTCTCTGCTACCTTTAAAAAATATATAGAAAAAACATTTGCTCTTTTCCTTTCTAACTCATCTAGTTCTCCAAGATTTCTCAGAATTAATGCACTGATGTTCAGCAAGATGATCAGCTAGTTCCTTAGTATCCTGGGATACTAATTCAATGGTATTCACCATGGTTTCTATCAATTCAAACTTCAGTTCCCCTTGTCCTGTTCTTAGAATACAACTTTTTTTATAAGAGAATCTTGGTCTTTCTTTATCTGCTAGCATTTGTCATCTTCGCAGTAGAGGAGTTATATCGATTATTTTATTTTCCTTTCATTCTAAATTCATTCTAAATTTAGGTTATTTTTCATATATTTCAGCTGATTCTGAGTTTTTG